TTTTTTTTTTTTTTTTTTTTTTCATTTCTTACCTCGCTGTCCCGGCCTGCCCTAGGTTCGCACTCGTTCACCGATTGTTACCTCTTTCGACAAAAATTGTTTCCCTCGGTGGCTTTCCACCTCTAATTTTCGTCTTCCACAGAAGTTTAAATGACATTTTAATTGTTTGTCTGTGGTGTTTGTTGATGATAATTAGTAGACTAGAGATGTTTATTCACTTACGCATAATTTAATCAAGGACACTGTTTTTTTTTTTTTATGCAGTTCAGTAATTGTTAAAAATCTTCGTAACTAACGTTTTGAGCGTTTAGTCCGTACTGAAGTATCGTACAAATAATCTGAGATGGTTAAAATAATTAAGTTCAAAAAGGATAATATATTGCAATGTATCGAACAAATATATCAAATCTTTAATACGTTTAAAAACAAATGTATTTTAAATTCGTTACGTGATCCTCGTTTGGTATCAAACTTTTGAACGTTTGATAATTTTAATGAACATTTATTATTTTTCCTATATAAGTTGTTCCACTCGGATACTTGTGAAACTATCGAATGATACAAAAGAAAAACTTCACACTGTACGAGGAATGTCTGCTAAAAAAAAAAAAAAAGATTAGGTTATTCAACAATTAAAAAATATGTAGCATTCTTAAATATCGAAATAAACTGACGACTTAAACACGCGCAATTTAATATCATGAAAAATGGTTGTTCTGTTAACCAAACATTAACAAAATAACGTGAACGGTATCAAAAGTGCGAAAAGAGAAAAAGTTTGTTTTTTTGCTCTCTGCCATAAGGTTGAGAGGTCGAATCTGTTAAAACTTTCTCGACAAAGATATTTTACACTGTAATACAATTATATATAATAAGAACAAAATTATTCTTATCCTTCACTCGTGCAAATATATTTTTCGGCAGCGTTGCGTAAGAAAATGCAATTTCACAGCAGAGAAATTCTAGAGGAAGCGTAAGATCGAAGAGTTCAAGTACAAGTTCCATCGAGGTCGCTAAATGGTCTACGCGGCGCGGCGCGGCGTCGTCAGACGGCCGACATCATAAACGCTTGCACTATAACCCACGTGGCGCCGACTTTCCAAACGAATATTTGGTCTCCGGAGGACAACTTTGCTACAAACGAAGTAACCTCGATCCAGTTCTTACTCTCCGATTTTAGAAGTAATTCTTCGCCCCTCCTTAACGCTGGAGCAAAATAAATTTTCTTCTTTTTTTTTCCATCACTATCACGATAAATTACATCAATTACAATAGAAGTTCGATTATCGGGATACCCGTTATCTGAACTCTCTATTATCCGAACGTTCTTTTTCAGTTCATAGCTCATAGAGTATTCACAATGACTCGTATTAATATTCAGACACAAAATATTGAAACTGTTACTGGCACAGTTTCAACTTTTCAATAGAAACATTTACTTTTTGTAAAAACAAGGCAGTAAGTTGGTGAGAAAGGCCGAAATATTCAAATGTGAAAAAAATGTTCGAGGTATT